ACCCCGTCTCTACTAAAATACAAAAACTAGCTGGCGTGGGGCGCCTGTAGTCTCAGCTACTTGGAGCTGAGCGGGAGAATGGCGTGAACCGGAGGCGAGCTTGCAGTGAGCGAATCACGCCACTGCACTCCAGCCTGGGAGACAGCGAGACTCCGTCTCAAAAAAAAAAAAAAAAAAAAAAAAAAAAAAAAAAAAGAAGAAAAATATACAAAATATAAAACTTATAAAGCATTTGAAGAAACATATCCCTGAATAGAAAAACTAAGAAAATAAAAACTCTCTAGCAAAATACATGAAAAAAATGCTCCTACATATTTAAGTGAAATAGATATATTTACAAAAAAGTGACTTTTATAAAAATTTTCATAGTAGCATTATTCTGAGTTAAAAACTATAAATGACTTAAATATTAAATGAAAAAGTCTGAAAAATGTGGTATTTCTGCAATAGATCACTATTCAACAATAAAAAAATAAACTACATACATATGCAGCAAGATAAAGAGTTCTCACAAATATCATAAAGGAAAGAAGCCTGACACAAAAGAGTGTGAGTTCTATGATCCAACTACATGATTCAACTCAACTCTATGATCCAACTATGGAATTTGTGTGATCTAAATTTGTGATCTTACTATATGATCCAACTATATGATTCAACTCAACTCTATGATCCAACTACGCAATCTATGTGATCTAAATCTGTGATCTAACTATACGATCCAACTCTATGATCTAAGTATGTAATCTAAATAGATGAGGTCTACAACAGACAAAACTAACCTCCAGTGTTAGAAAAAAATCCAAAAATCGTTTTCTCTGAGGGTAGGGGTTGGACTGGAAATAGCACCAGAAAACTTTCTGGGTTTTGAAAATATTTTATATCTTGATTCAGGTGGAGGCTTCATGGGCGATAAAGTTGTCAAAACAAATTTAACTGAGTACTTAATATCATTTTATTGTTTGCAAATTATGCTTCAATTAAATAGAAGCATAAAATTCAACTTATGATGCCAGAACAATCTTATCTATCATAGAAATAATTATGTATGGTCTTAGCTGCCCTATCTTAGAGTTAATTAAAATGCAACAGAAAACATCTCTGTACTCGATATGAAAAAATTCATTACAAAACTGACATAGCTTGAATCTAGAATATAAGCAAATATAACCGAGAAGTTATAAGGAAAGTTTATTGTAGTATTAGAATAGCAAAATATTAAAAAAGAAAAAATCAACTAGCTTCAAAATAATGAACTAAATTACAGCACCTTCACAAACGGAAACACAAATGTTGAGAAAAAGATTATGTGATTACAAGGAAAAATCTCCAAAACAAATTGTTCCATGATCACAAGTTACAAAAAGAGCTTCATAATATGTTCCCTTTTATGTTAAAAAATCAGCACACATATAAAATACATGAAATATAACTAAAATAAAAAAATAATGAAGGACATACCAGAAACTTTAGTTGAACCAAAGGTAATGAGGCTGGAGTCTAATGAGAAAATCCGGAGAGAAAAAGCTTGTATCATCAAAACCAAATCTGATAAGCAGGACTTCCACGCTTCAATCATGTATTTAATGGATTTGAGCTAATAGGGCTATGCTAAGTAGAGTGTGTGCTGCATGCTTTTAAATATCTCACCTAGATTAGAATCAATACATTAATTAAAAGTCAGGTACAGCTTTGACTGTAAAAGATTGTTCAGCCAAGACTTAATCTAATTTTACAAACATTATACTTTATTTTTCTTCTCTAAATTTGTTAATAAATTCTAGATAAAATAAGGTTACTGCAGATTTTTAATCCTGTAAAAACAAAGTAGCTTTAATAATAGCAAACATTTTACTGAATCTATCTAACTTATTATCCTTAATTACTTTCTTCTATGAAGTCCTTGCAGACTAACATTCTTTTATTACCTGTCAAATTTTGCTACAATTTAGAATTAACTCCCTTCTGTTTTCTTTTCTTTAGAAGAGTTATTTGTCCTAGCCTCCTGTACATTGGCTCCTGAATTTTTTTGGGGGGATGGTTTATAGATATAGTTATAAAATGATGTAAAACATGAATTGCCAAATGCATTATTCAATAAGGCAATCTACTCCTCACCCCAGAGGAGGAGCAGGCGTTATATCCTACAGATAAAACCTCAAGCTCTTCCCAAGTACCAGTGTGTTGCCATTATTCACAGCTTTATGCAGCAGTATCCATGAGATTTTTTATCTTATAACTGAGAGACTAGAATGCAGCCTTGTTTCATTTGTTTATTTTTATTTGTTTGTTGGACTGGGAAAGGGTCAAAGGGCAGCAAGGGTTGGTTCCCTGCTGGAATCATGGCTGTTTCTTCGTGATGAGTTTGACATCCTAAACATGGAGGCATGAAATAATAAACCAAAACACTGTCAGGGGAATCCTTGTAAGACCTGGGCCCCAAATAAGCTTTTGGTCGTCCAGTTGCTAAAGTGCCTCTGAAGTCCTGAAAGAGGCACAGAATTCAGCATCAGCCAGGTGATGCGTGCAGAGCACACAGCAACGACAAGGGTGTTGGTGTCCTCCTGGCAGGAAAGGACAGTGCACAAAGAGAAAAAGATAGGAATCGATGTCAAACAGTGAGGAGTTGCAAGAAAACTACCATAGACAGCAAGACATCAACTTCCAAATTGTGTGGAATCAGTTTGTAGGAGATCAGAAGGCTACGGGTTAAAGGCATACCTTAAGTAGGAAAATAGATATGACCTTATTTGTAACCACAGTTTAGTTTTCCTTGTTAGCTCCCTAAAGCTGATCTTGGCCAGTTGACCAATGACCAATTGTGAAATCCAATCTTCAGGTCTCAAGCCTCACCTCACTTGACAAACCAGCAGCATTTGGTCCGGTGAATCCCCTCCTAATATAACCAAATTCGGGTCTGGCTACTCTCCAACCAAAAGCCAGATCCCAGAGATGGGAGTTGGTGGAAGGAAAAGCAACTTTATTCGAGAGTCAGCAGCCTGAGAGATGGCAAGTTTGTGTCTCGAAAACCATCTTAAATTTCCAGACTAACCAAAGTGATTTTAAAGCAGAAGGTGGCATGGGAAGCATGTGCACGAGTGGGACAGGGTGCAGGTGTGTGTGTCGTAGCCTGACGGCTGCCTTGAGTAATGGTCTACCTGGTGATCTAGCTGGTGTCATTCTGACTGTGGCCAGGTTAAGGATGATGGTGCAGCAGTTTTCAAGGAGAAGGAAATGTTTTTCCATCTTGAATTCATGCCCAGGTTGTTTCAAGATTGGCCCTTGGAATTCTTTTTGTTTTTGTTTTTGTTTTTTGAGATAGAGTCTCGCTTTGTCACCCAGGCTGGAGTGAAGTGGTGTGATCTCAGCTCACTGCAACCTCTGAGTCCTGGGTTCAAGCGATTCTCCTGCCTCAGCCTGCTGAGTTGCTGGGATTACAGCTGCCCGCCACCACACCCAGCTATTTTTTTTTTTTTTTTTTTTTAGTGGAGATGAGGTTTCACCACGTTGATCAGGCTGGTCTCGACTCCTGACCTCAAATGACCTGCCTGCCTTGGCCTCCCAAAGTGCTGAGATTCTAGGCATGAGCCACTGCTCCTGGCTGCCCCTGGAATTCTGAAGTCAGCATGCAGATAGATGTGAATAGACACAAGCAAGAGCAGGGTTATTTCTGAAACAGTCTGGTTATTGCAGCTACACTAATACTTGAAACACTTCCTTCATTTGTATCCCGGAACCACACAAACGGTCATCTTTCTTTCTTTTTCAGTTGCACCATCTTGGTTTCCTTGCTGAGTTATATATTTCTAGCCCTCCGACTCTTGGTCTGGATTCTCTACTTGTGTGTGTTCCTTCTCATTCCATCAGTGGTTTCCCCCGTGCTTGTGGTTTTGAATGCCATTGATATGCTCAGGAAGCAGCGGTTTATGACTCAACTCAGGTTGTAATGTGGTTTGTCTGTGTTCCCACCCAAATCTCATATTGAATTCCAGCTCCCATAATTCCCAAATGTTAATAAAAAGAATATGTGTGTCCCAAAGAAGTAGGGATTGATCAAAAGGGACAGAATGGGCTGATTCCCAGACTGTAAACCTGCAGAGACCAGGACCTCTTCACCTTCACGTATGGGTAGAAAATTTCTAGACATTGAAGAAGACAAGAGACAGAGACAGCATGAGCAAAGGCATGGAGCATGGGACATGAGAGAGCAGACATCTTGATTTCTCTATTTCTATCTATTCATCCACCCATATCTCTGTCTGTCTATCTATCTATCTATCTATCTATCTATCTATCTATCTAATCTATCATCTATCTCATCTATCTGTCTAATCATCTATTTATCTATGTAATCTATCATCTATCTTTATCTATCTCATCTTTCTTTCTTTTCTTTCTTTTTTATAATCTATTTATCATCTATCTCATCTATCTATCTACCTTTCTATCTCTATCATCTATCTATTATCTGTCTATCTATCTATCTGTCTATCTATCTATCTATCTATCTATCTATCTATCTATCTACCGTCTACCATGTAGAATATAATGTGTGTGAATAAACTAGAGAGTATCCAAGAGTGAAAGACAGGCAATTGGGCTAAAGAGGAAGTCTGCAACCAGTCACTAAAGGATCCATATTGAAGATATCTTGACTGTTGCCTACTTTAGATTTGCCTCAATATATTCATACAAATTAGAGATGCTAAGACTTAGCTGAGGAGAATGATTTTGGACTCATAGGCAGGTAAGTATGATTTGTTTAATAGTAGATCCTCTAGCTATTTAAAACGTGTTAGCTCAGAGGATGGAATACATACCCACATGTATGTATACGTATATGCACATATGCATAAAACTTTTAATTAAATTCTACTACATATGTTTATAAAAGTATCCATAATTCTAGCATTAAATGATCATCTAGCTGCACACATAAAGAGTTAATGTCACACATTCTTACTCACATTCCTTCTGGACCTGCATACATACAGTCTTACCTTTGGTTAAGACTGCTGGGAGCTGTTGAACATTGCAAAATCTTTTACATCCTCTGTGTGCAACAATGAGAATTCCACACTAACTTACGGTAATGTCTGCAACCACATAGAGAAATACAGCAAGAAAGGAGAAAATTAATCCTCAGCAGGGTGGTGTGGGCATGATTCTTTCTCACATAATTACACATTGAATCCACGCTATCTGACGGGAAGAATTTATCAGGTTAATTAAACTGCTTTCTTTTTTACTTAAATGTTCCTGCTGCTCACACCATTTCCATAGACTAGTGTCCATTTCTGAGGCTGAGTGAGGAGAATCCACAAACCTGCGCAGCATTCGGACACTGCCATCTTCTGCATCAACGGCGTAGGCTGAGCACATGATGGGAAGAAGCACTTTTCGGGGTTAGGGTTAGGGTTAGGCTTAGGGTTTGTATGCTATCCATTGTAGTTACACTATAAATTATGCCATTAGAAGCCATCCATTAAGATCAAGAATTCATTATGAAGAATATTTGGCAACTATATATATATATATATATATATATATTTTGCCCAGAAGAAAAATCAGAAAAGGAAACCAATAGTTGATTTCAAATTATTTTATTTTAAAAATATTTTCTATTTAATTTTGTGCACACAGCCTCCTTTTAACAAATGGATGTATGTTTATAAATCCTGTTTCTCTTTCCAAAAGAGCAACATGAATAATACATTATCAGTATAACATCCAATTAATATCAGTATCAGAGCTCACATTATTATGCTGTGAGCTAATGAGAAAAATGTCAGGAAAATAATTGTGGAAAAAGACACTTATCAAAAATCTACCACTCAAAATGCTGTAAAAATTACAATAAATAGATGGAGATAACAAGTTTTCATATGAATATTAAAAAGCCTGCAGGCTTAGAATCTTGAAGTGAGGTAAACTACTTATTCAAGCTAAAGGCCATCTGGATTCTTGGAATCAAAGTTTAAGATTTGCTTGCGTTAGCACATTGGTTCAAAGTTTATTACAAAGAAGCATACCATGGCTCGAAGAGGTTGACTGACAACCCCCCAGCCACAACGCCGTGAGCCTTGTACGGAAACACTTCTCTGGCCCTCACTCCATACCATGTGGCCTTCCTTCGGTAAAATCCACGGGGGTGTGGCCTTCACATAAGTGCCTCTTTGAGAGCTCAGTCCTCTCATCAAAACAATGTGGAACTGAATGGCCAGTCTTGGGGCCTGGATTACTTGAGTGTGAGACGTGGAGTGAAACCAGTGGAAAGCGGGAGCTGGAGGTAGTTTCTGGGTTGCACTTGCTGAGGATTTCAGTGACGCGTGGATGGGAGAGGATGCAGGGGAATGAATACGAGGTCGTAGCAGACGTGCACCAAGTCGTACACAATCTGCTCCATTTTTCGCTCATCATTTTTACTGTATTAGCTTATAAACTAACAAAGGAAGCCCAGATATTTTAGGGGTAGCCCTGGCATTGGGTGAGACACCTGTGGGACAGTTTGGTCAGCACGTGGTCTCTGAGCAAGGCTTTGCTGTGGTTCAGGAGGCAGATGGGGAGCTGAGGGATGCTCCTTCGTGTCCCCGGAACTCCAGCCTGGTCTCCATTTCTCCTTCAGCGAGAACGGTGTGAGGCATGGCACCGTCAAGAGTCAGGAAGGAAGGCTCCCTGGGCCCCAGGTAAGGAATTCATATCAAACAAAGACAGAGAACAGGAAAACAGAAAATGGCTAAGATTTTGATTTAAAAAAGAAAAAAGTCACCAGGAAGGGCTCCACATGGAAAGAAGCGTATTAGCATACTCACCTTATGGAAATGCATCAAGCAGGAAGTCCCCAGCCCGAGAGCTGTGGAAGGACACCTGACCCCAATTTGAGATGCCATCCTCCTCCTCTCCCCACATGCACACTCGGGGACGTTGAACTTCGAAGGTGAGGTGCACCTGCAACCCAACACATTTGTCATAGGACTGCATCTAGACAGAGTCTGTTCTGCCATCCCAAGGCAATTAAATATATCAACAATGATGACGATCAAAGCGTAGCTATGAGATGTGTTGAGAAGACACCATGAAGATAAATCACAGTTTCAAGTGTACACACACACACATACGTACAGAATAGACAGCAAGATAGTGCAGTGACTTCCCACTTTATGATAAGGGCACAAGCAGCAAAAGAAATCAGTAACCTTTTACCTATATTTAGGCACTGATTTTAGGAGTACAACAGATATTCAATGAGGTCTTTCAAGCCCCCAGTGATTTCTCATAACTACTGTTAATAATTCATAATCAATAAAACTATCTTGACATCTGTTAAAGAGCACATAGAAACCTGTGGGCTAGATGAGCACATCTATTTGCTGTAAAGTGGATTATTCCATCAGTGTAAAAATAGTACTTTAGCCAAACTGTCTTCTCAGCTTTGCCTGTCTCCGCTTTGGCTGACACTAGAGCTTAGTGGCTGAAGCTTTCAGGAATATTTCCCTGAACATTTTCATGAACATTTCGTAGTTGCATGTGTTGACTATTGATTGAATGATTAATATATCAAATAATAGTTTTTTACCAACATGCTGAGTACATTCTGGTTGTAAAGGCAAGCTTGAAAAGGTCTGTGTTTGCAGAGGAGAGAAGGATTTTAAAATATGGACCACGTCCTTAAGAGAGGGTGGCATGAAATAGACTTTTTTTGGTAGGCACTATGTGATTTCTTAATGTTTTATTCACATATATTACTTATAGGGTGCTTAAAATAGGAACATTAAAACCAAGTTAATGGTAATTTGTTTTAATATAGTGTATTTGTTTAATCAAAAAATTTCAGTATCTGCATGTGCCTGGAACTGTTTTTACATACACACACACACACACACACACACTATATATATATACACACATACACACACACACACTATATATACACACACACACCATATATACACACACATACACACACACTATATATATATACACATACACACACACTATATATACACACACATACACACTATATATACACACATACACACACTATATACATACACACACTATATATGTACACATACACACACACTATATATATACACATACACACACACTATATATATACACACACACTATATATATATACACATACACACACTATATATATACACACACACATACACACACACTATATATATATACACACACGCACACACACTATGTATACACACACTATATATACACACACACATACACGATATCTATACACACACTATATATATACACACATACACACACACACTATATATATATACACATACACACACACAATATATATACACACACATACACACGCACACACACTATATATATATACACATACACACTATATATATACACACACTATATATATATACACACATACACACACACTATATATACACACATACACACACACTATATATACACACACACACACGCACACACTATATATATACACACATATACACACACACTATATATATACACATACACACACACAATATATATATACATACACACACTATATATATACATACACACATACACACACTATATATATACACATACACATACACTATATATACACACATACACACACACTATATATAGATACACACACACTATATATATACACATACACAAACACTATATATATACACACACACTCTATATATATACACACTATATATATACACACACTATATATACACATACACACACACTATATATACACATACACACACACTATATATATACACACATACACACACACTATATATATACACACATACACACACTATATATATACACACACACTATATATATACACACACATACACACACATGCACACACACTATATATATACACATACACACACACTATATATATACACACATACACACACACACTATATATATATATACACATACAAACACACTATATATATACACACACACACTATATATATACACACACATACACACACGCACACACACTATATATATACACACACATACACACACACGCACACACACTATATATATACACATACACACACACACTATATATATACACACATACACACACACAATATATATATACACACAAACACACACACTATATATATACACATACACACACACTATATATATATACACATACACACACACTATATATATACACACATACACACACACTATATATATACACACACATCACATACACACACACTATATTATACTTATATCCACACTTATCGCACCACCATCCACTATTATTACACACAAACTATATTATATCATCAAAAAACACATATCACCATATATATCACAAAAAAAAAAAAAAAACACAATATATATACCACATAACACACACACACTATATATATATACACATGACCACACACACAATATATCTACACACCTATATATATACACACACACTATATATATACACACATACACACACTATATATATACACACATACACACACACTATATATATACACACACATACACACACTATATATATATACACATACACACACTATATATACACACACATACACACACACTATATATATACACACATACACACACACTATATATATATACACACACACACACACTATATATATATACACATACACACACTATATATATACACACATATACACACACACTATATATACACACACATACACATATTTTTGTAGATATAGACTGTGTACATATATTTTACATGTATATACAAAAGTATACATATATATTTGTGTGTGTGTATATATATATTTATATATACACAAGGAAGTGTCAGGTTCTTCCTATTAAAAAAAAAGACGGGAAAACATAATAAAATTCCTACCTGAATTCTAGGTGTCATCCTTTCACTGTTTTACTAGGAAGAACCTGAAACTTGAAAATAATGGGTAGCAGGACTGGTATTCAAATCCAGCTCTGTGCAAATCCAGAGTCCAAGGACCCACGTCACGTTCCTGTCGCTGTGTTTTGGTTTTGTGCCCGTTCAGTAAAGTCAAACACTGTAGGATTCCTTCAGATTTTCTTTCAGGGTAGACCGGATTGAGGATGGATTAGGGATGGAGTGACCAGTGGGAGCCCCAGCTCCTGTGTGCAGCAAACCCCTGGGAGCTCCTGTGGCCTGGCCTGGCCTAGAGAAGCAGCTCGGGAAGAAAGGGCAGCCAGGGGTGCCCAGAGCTGCATCGAGAGGCCGGAGGTTCATGACAAAGGCACCAGCCCCGCGGCTCCTGGCAGACACGGGGCCCTGAGGCCAACAGATGTGCCTTCACCAGGAACCCTGGGCATCGTGAAATGCCGAGTGGCCTGGAGCTGACGTCCCCCGGCAGCCTGCCCTGCCTGCAGCGCTGAGTTAGAAGCCGGCAGCTTCCTGGCTGGTTTCCCGGGTTCCCCTCTGGAATCTCAGACTGAACAGCACCTCCTCACGCAGCAAAAGCCCGTGATGGAGAGCAGGGCCACCCTCCACCACTCGGTTACGTACTCAGGTTTTGGGGATGGAAGATGATGTTTTTTTTGAAATCCAGGTTGTGAAATTCAAGATTATACTGCAGCTTTTATAATACATTTATAAAACTTTGGAGTTTTTTGCTTCACAAGCGCTATAACATTTACTGAAATACCAGATTCTTTAGAATCTACCTTTTCCCCATTCTGCTTGCTATTTTCGTTCATGTAATGAATATAGACCACTTATTTTCTCTTAAGTATGTCCATTTAGCACGTGGAGAGCAGCATCATGGTGCTGTGGCATTGGCTTCCATCTTTTGTATTGAAACCATGCCAACATATTCTGCTTGGATTGAAATCCATTTAAATATGTTATCTATATGGGCTCTTTAACATGTATTCAAATCTATTTAGTATTATGACTGACTTTTAATTGCTATAAATTCTGAAATAAAGTATCAGTATCATTTTGGATTTCATGAGTAGATGCGTTTGGTTTTGAAGTCCGTAACTTATGATGGACAAAACTATAACATATAAATATATAATAACATGATTATATAACACATAAAACACATAAGATATACAGTGTATAATATCATAGATAAATATAAACTATACACACATACACTCACATATTTTTCAGCCATGTGAGGTGGGTTTTTATTGGAGCTCATTGAAAATTCACTTCCTATCTAAGTCACCTGTGCCTACTTGATAGCAGTACAGCACGTCTGTATCCATAGGTGCGTAAATTATGCTATTTGCTTTGGAAAATAATTTTAAAGTCACCTTCAATATATTGGTGTAGTAAAATTGGGATTTGTGTCATCTATCATAGTGAAGTATGTGAAAATTATTTTCTGTCCTTATTATTCAAACATACATGATTTTATGTTTTTACTCTTAAAGTATATTTGTAGCAAAATATATTAGACAGGATGCAAATCGGACCCACAAAAGGGTCTTTTAGAAATGTTAATTTGTATTTGTGCTGCCTTCATGAAACTTTAAGGAGAAGCCCTTTAGGGCCTGGCTCACGCGTTTGGAGCAGTTGCTGTGGTGGTTCTTACATGCATCCTGGTTAAAAACCACAGACTTAAGAAGCTAAATGTTTCGAATGGAGAAAGGAAGAAAGTAATTGATTGAAATGCAGATGTTTAATTCCAAAATTAGAGGCATTTGAGTTGATAAGATGATTTTAAAAGGAAGCTACGACAAACACAATAAAGAATTTCTCAAGAGCCCCTGAAGGGCTCACAAGGAAAGCCCGGGATGGAGTCCCGGGGAGCCCTCACCAGCAGCAGTAACAGGAGTTCCCACAGCCCTCACTCCCGACACCCCAGCCCACCCCACAGTGGGCTGTTACGGAATACGGAAGCAATTCCATGGAAACCAGGCAACTCCATGGACTGGAGGGCGAGGCTGCAGAAGCCTTGTCGTAAACAGAAATACAAACTCTAGAGAAGCTTCAGTCTTCAGCTGTGTGACATAGATGGAGTGATCTTTGTGCTGATACACCATGCAGCTTCAGGGATACTGAACAACAGCAAACAAAGATGGGGCCCAGAGAGCAATAGACGCCTGTGATTTCATTCACTCATCTTCACCTGCCAGCCTTAGCTGGGTGCTGGCTCCGTGGAGGACATTGTGATAAATTGGATGTGTAGCGTCACTCTGGAATCGCTATTTCCAGTCCTTGCTGGACGTTTGAGTTCACCTGTGGATCTCATGGCAATACTGATAGCTGATCACAAGCCCACATCTCATCTTCCAGAGATTCCACTTGATTCTGTCTATGGTGGAGCCCACATCAAAGTGAATTTTTAAAGACTCCCAGGTGACCCCAAGGCACAGGCAGAATTTTGAACCACTTTTCAGGAAGAAGAGTGCCTTTGTATTAATGGTGTAGAAATATTTGATAATATTGAAGTATATGAATAAGAGATATATGCGAAAATGAAGGTAGACATAGATATAGTTTATATAGAACTTTGAATATTATAATATGGTTTCTCAGGCAAGGAATTTTGGTTACACAGTTATGCTATATCCATATTTGCAGGAGAAGAAATTGTCTCATGAAAAGACATGAAAGAATACTAATTCATACATACAACGTGCTACATTAGAGGACAGAAAATATAATATGAAATTAATAGGCTTGACATTTAGAGAGGCAATCTTGCCAAACAAAAGGCAGTTGTGTTCTGAATAACAATAGATGATTTTATATGGGTTGAAAATGTGTGAAAGCTAACATGAATAAATTAAACACACACATGGAGATACACACACAGAACACAGACACACAGACACACAGACACACACACAGATACACAGACCTACAGGCACACACACAGACACACACACACTTGTAATTGGATCTTCAGGTTTTTACTTGGTAACTCTAGGACTGACATGCAGCTGGAAGACAATTAATATATTTAAAACAGGTGGAAAATCTTCACCAGTTATAAAACATCATAATTTGTTGATTTTACCTGCCATTTCTATTTTAGAAATATAATAAGCCCATTAAGTGTGAACCAAATATTGAAACAAAATAGTCTTTCTAGATATAATAATTAATATTTTAACACATATCAAAAGTTTATAACAATAATTTTCACATTTATCATATCCTGATTATTATAGTTGTTACTATTAAAAGAGTTAATAGATGTGAAAATGTTTTGTGAGTACACCCTGCTCTCTTCTCCGTGATGCTAGCGGGACAGATGAGATGTACTCTCCATCTGAAAGAAAAACCAGATGGTGTCAAATGAGTCATTCAAGTAAAATCATGAGCAGAGCCATAATTAGACACATTTACATCTTTCTTTTTCTTTCTTTCTTTCTTTCTTTCTTTCTTTCTTTCTTTCTTTCTTTCTTCCTTCCTTCCTTCCTTCCTTCCTTCCTTCCTTTCTTTCTTTCTTTCTTTCTTTCTTTCTTTCTTTCTTTCTTTCTTTCTTTCTTTCTTTCTTTCTTTCTTTCTTTCTTCTTTCCCTCTTTCTTTCTTTCCTTCTTTCTTTTTCTTTTTTTCTTTCTCAGTGCAGTCCTGAACTCCTGAGCTCGAACAATACTTCTGCTTCAGCTTCCTGAGCAGGTGGGACTACAGGCATGAGTTACTATGATCAACTAATTTTTGTATTTTTTTGTAGGGATAGGGTCTCACTTTGTTGCCCAGGGTGGTCTTGAACTCCTGACCTCAGGCAATCCTGCCATCTCAGCCTCCCAAATCTCTGGGCTTACAGGCACGAGCCACCACACCCAGCTGTCAAGTCTTCTTTCGTGTCCTGGCTCTTTCTATACCTGTCTCCCACAAACACAAGCACACACACACACGGCACACATATAGACACATACACATACACACACGCACACACACACACACACGGCACACATATAGACACATACACAGACACACACACACACACACTTTTGCCAAGTTGCATAGGTCTGTACCTATAATTTTACCTGTGTCTGCACATATGCATATGTTTACACCTGTTCGTATTAATGTATTTATCTGTATAAAAGAAACAAGGAGACCATAGGGCAAGCTTGTCCAACCCATGGCCCACAGGTTGTATGCAGCCCAGGGTGGCTTTGAGTACTGCCCAACACAAATTCTTAAACTTTCTTAAAACACTATGGGATTTATGCTTGTACCATTTTTTCTTTTAGCTCATCAGCTGCCGTTGTGTTAGTGTATTTTATGTGTGGCCCAAGAAAATTTTTCTTCTTCCAATGTGACCCAGGGAAGCCAGAAGATTGGACACCCCTGCTAGGGTCAACGGTGAAATGAAACCTAGCCCGTGCCTTGTTCAACCTGCCACTCAAAGTCGAGCTTTCCCACCACATATAGTCTCTGCTGTAATTTTCCCAGTCATAGGAAGCCCCCATTTCACAAAATGCTTGAGGGTCTCCAGTCATAAGTAATGAACTCCTTTCATATTTATTGGAGCATTTTCTCTGAAAAAATGCCAGTCATTAGCTGTAACTTACTTTCTGAAGCTGGACAAATCTGTTTAAAATCACACTTTCAATGCTGATTCTCAAACTCCTGGACTCAAGGGATCCATACAACTTGGCCTCCCAAAGTGATGGGATGACAGGCACAAGCCACCATGCCCAGACTTAAATGTCCATTTTCATACATGTGTTTTATTGGTTTTGTGATCTCCAAACTGAAAAGGATAAAGGGCAGAGGGTGGGGGGAAATCTGTTACTGTGCGAGTATCTACTGGTGATACATACTTGATGTGTGTCTTTACTTAGTCCTTATAACCGACCTCCTAGATTTGCGTTGTAATGGCCTTTAAAGACGAATGCACAGACTCAATGGCATGAGGTGACACTGCCCTCAGCTGTTAAGGGCCAGAGTCCCATCCAACTAAACCTCAGTCTCTGTCATTTAATAGCACTTTTACCCCCACTAAATCATAATCTCCCACTACCCACACCATCCTCAAGAGATAACTTGAACGGATTTTTTCTAACATGTAAGATTGGACCACTTTTGGCAATCTGAAAAGTCTTCCTGGAATTTTACTTCCTTTAATTAATTAATTTACTTTTAAAATTTAGTACTTTTTCTCTGGAAGACCCAGGGGAAAGCAATGGCTGAGATGTGAGGGAGCCCTGTGAAAAAAATCCAGTGTCCAGCACTGACTCAATTTGTATACCCTGCTGTGTCGGCCCCACTTTAGCCTCCTTTGTTTATCCTCTCTTGCTAAATCTTACACATTTACACTTTGTTTAGGCTGTTTTCCAGATTTGTATTTCAACCTCCCATCAAGTTCTGTGGGACTCTCTTAGGAACTTCCACTACTAGGACAATCCCAGGAGTCCCAGCTCGAGAGATTAAGACCTGTACTTATTTGGGAGGCTATTTAAAATGAATGCAATGAGCAGCATGTTCAGAACATACATAAAAAGAGCTACAAA